ACGAATTGTAATTTTTATTTTCGAAAATCTTTTTTGTTTTTGTTGATCCGAACTCACCAAAGAGTAACAATAAAAACAGTCCCTTCTGAAATAAAACTGTTAAAAAGAGTTTTGTTCTTAGCATTCACTCTAATCCAATCCATCAAAGGTATATTTGGCATTCTCATACCATTGTGTATTAAAAATAGAGGACCACAACTCCCCCCTTTGAGGACAAGTTCTCAACACATAGTTTATGTCTTCCATATTGTTGCAACTAATACAACTTGAATCATTCGTGAGGCCCCTCTTCAAACGCATATCATTGGTAAGGAGTTTCCTATTACGCACCACCCAAAGGAAACCTTATGGAATTTGCAATTTCCACATCCACTTCTAGTCACACACGTGTTGATCTTTTTCCACAATAATAGCATAAGTAGCAGCAAAAGAGAAACCCCCATTATTAATGAGATTCATAAACCGTGAAGAATGGATGTGGAAGTTAAATTTCTATTGGGCCAATAAAAAATGCACACTCAAGATTATTTTACCTACACACTTTATATAATCAGCTAGTCATGTTTCTGATTGGTCTTTTATCTACGTTATGTCATGGTAGGAGAATCAAATGTTTGTAGGGGCCATACACAAGCAAACACCTATTGAACAACATAACTTAGATACATACATATGGAGTTAGTAAATCCTTTGTATGGACCGCAACCCCCCTTCCCTCCGCCCATGAAGAGAGGGCATTTTAGAGAGATTGATAGGTGGAAAAAAGTGTTACCTAAAAAGCAATCTAAGAGGGGGGTGAATTAAGTTTCTACAAAATAAAATTAATAATACCCCAATAAAATTAACTACTAGTACAACAAATTATTAGCAAGTACAATGATGAACTTAGCAGTAAATGATCAAGCAAAATAACAATGAAGTATAACTAACATACAAGATAAATCAAATGATTAACACATGAATATTAGATAGCTATAGCAGTAGTAGAAAAGTAAAGAGATTGGGGAAGAGGAGACAAACAGATTTATAGTGGTTCGGCTTCAACCAAGCCTACATCCACTCCTCAAGCTTCACTTGAGATTTTCCACCATCTTCTAGCTTCACAGAGGTGCTAGCAACCTCTTTACAAATGGAGCAATCCTCCACGGATTTTACACAGACTTCACAAGCCCAAACCCTTGCAAATCTTAGGTGATTCACAATCACTCTCAAGATTTCAAGAACACAGTGTTTGCAACACTTTTACAAGATGAAATGGTATTTTTGCTTTCAAAGAAAGCTTACAATAAATATCTCTCAAAGATGGATATATAAAATGAAACTTTGGTTTTTCTGTAAACCTCACATAGGAAAAGTGTTGGCTTAAAGCTATAAGGCTCAATGTATAATTTTTTAGAATAGATGTGAGTGATTATAGATCAAAGAATATTTTTAGATTTTTTGTAACTTGTTTACATTATAGGCTTTGGTATATATAATGAAAATTATAGCCGTTGTATTCATTTGAATTTATAGCCGTTGTAGTCATTTGAATTTATTGCCGTTTATAGCCGTTGTACTTCCATCATTACCAATTTGACTATCTTCCACTCCATCATTACAAATTTGAATATCTTCTACTTGAACATTTTGAACCTTTATAGCCATTTATAGCCATTGTACTTCCATCATTACTAATTTGAATATCTTCCATTTGAACCTTTTGGCCTGCTACTGTGCTAGGCTGTTTGAACCTTTGTTTTGAGCTGTTTGAACTCCTGATTTAATCAAATATTAAATACATTCTAACAACATTTAGGATAAAGGTTTAGGTAAGAAATAATGGGAAAAAATAAATTTTGATTCTATTTTTCCCTTTCAAATAAATTAAAACATAATTAAATAAATCATCAAAATAAATAAGTCTAACAGAGTGTTTTTCGAAACTGTCCAGAAATCAAGTTGTTCAAAATCAGGTTTTGAGCATACCAGGAGCAAGGTCTAGTAGAGAGGAGTCCAGAATAGCGAAAAAGAGCCCCAGAAGAGCTTGCACGTGCTCTCACGCGCTCTTTGAAGTAGGAGCGTGAATCTCACGCTCTAAATGCGCCACACGCGCCGTGGAGAACAGCCAAAGCGTAAATATCACGCTTTGCCCACGCCCCACGTGCTGCGCAAGGAGGAAGACGAGTGTGTTGTACGTGTGTGTGATGTCAAACGCCATGTCACTATCTGCGTGGCTACACGTCAGCACCACGTCATTGAGACGTGGCCGACATGTCATCGCCAGGTCACTGCCACGTGTCTGACACGTAAGTGCCATCTCACTTACATGTGTCTGCTACGTCACCCTGAGCCAGTGCCACGTGGTTGCCCACGTCAGCATCCCTGTTGACCAGTCAACCTAGAGGTAGAGAGTTATCAACTGCTGTGCGGCTAAGGTACACTTGCAGATCTGAACTGTCCAAACTGTTTTGGCCTGATCTGAGCCATTTTGAGTCCGTTTTTGACGATCCAATAGTGGTTTTCAACTATTTGGCATATTTCGGACACATCTGTATGGTTAGATTTTTCATTCGGAGTTTTCTATAAAAAGAAAGAATACAATGGAGGAATCTACATCAACTTCAAGATCTATGTTCAAGTTGACTCCTTCCAATTATGCAATTTGGAAGTCACGGATGGAAGACATCCTGTTTTATAAAGACCTATTTGACCCTATTTTTATAAAAGGGATTAAACCTCAAGGAGTGAAAGATGATGACTGGATAAAGATAAACCGCAAGACTATCGGTTGTATCAGACAATGGATAGACCACGGTGTGTACCATTATGTCGCAGAGGAGACAGATGCCTATTCTCTATGGACAATGTTAGACGACATGTACCGGTCAAAGACTGCTCAAAATAAAGCCTTGGTGATGAGAAGGCTTGTCAATTTGAAGTTGAAGAATGAAATGTCTATCGCCAAGCACACCAGTGAATTCAAAAATCTGGTGAATCAGCTTGCAACCGTCAAGATGCGCTTAGACGATGAAATGCAAGTCGTACTACTGCTCAGTTCTTTACTGGACAGTTGGGAGACGTTGGTGGTCTCTCTTAGCAACTCTGCACCAAAAGGGAAGCTGACCATGAGCATGGTCACAGACGCCATATACAATGAAGAGACAAGAAGGAAAGACATGGGAAGTAATCAGTCCCATGCTCTTGTCACAGAAGATAGAGGCAGAGAAAGAGGTAAAGGAAGAGGTAGAGGAAGAAGCAAAAGTAGAGCCAGCTGGAACAACAAGAGTAAATCCAGAGACAACAAAGGTCGAGGTAACTCCAACTTCACTTGGTTTCACTGTGGCCTGGAGGGTCACGATGGGACTCATTACATTTTTTCTAATTGCTATTATTTATAATACAATTTATATAATTCTATCATAAATCTAATGATTTATTCTATTGTTATTATTTTTTTTTCTAATGATTTATTTCTAATTTATATAATTCTTAGTCTTAATGATTTATCTTTATTTCTAATTGTTATTATTTTTTCTAATATTTTTATTTTTAAAAATTATTAAAATACAAAACTTAAATATACGTAATGATAGTCGTGCCTTGCATGGGCCTTCGTAACTAGTATATCTATAAGAATGTAATATCCTAATCATGCTCTTACACACAAAACTCGAAGAACTGGGCAATTACAATATATGATCCAGAGTTCTACTTAGGTACAACATGTTAGCTCCAGTCACTACCCACATGGTAAGGAGCCCACTATCCACATGATGTGGGTGGCACCACGTGGTAAAGGAAACTGGTGGGGCAATACCAACTCACCAAAGGTAGATGTTGAGGGTGGCACAACCAAGCCCACTCATCGTTGTCACCAAACCCACTTCTCATCTCTTATTATAAATTAAGATGAGTGAGGAGGGGTGTCTCTTTTATTTGATTGATTTGATGGGTGAAATAAAAAAAAAATGAAATGTAATTTGAGTAAACTATTTGTAATTTTATTTGGAAGACTTATATAAGATATGATTCTATGAAAAAAATTATAATCCAATAGGTTCTGTAGTTTTCTTGTGAACACATCTACTCCCAATCTTAAGAGTAATTAATAACCTGATTAATAATAATAACACATATATGAAAAATCTAATGTTACCATAGATTGCGATTATATCTATATGGTTAAAAATTTGAAATTTAAAATAATTTAATTAATGGTAATACCATATAAGAGAAATTTAATATTATCATAGATTGTGATCATATCTATATGGTTAGAAATTTGAAATTCAAAATAACTTAATTAATGTCAATACCATATTGTTGGAAATTCGAAATTCAAAATATAAATGTAACATGTAACATCCCAAACCCAATGTGACATTCTCAAACCCAACGTGACATTCTCATATGCTTCTCATCCTAAATCTAACGTAAATGTAACTTGTAACATTTCAAACTCACTGTGACATTCCCGTATGCTCTTTATCCCAAACCTAACGTGACATTCCAATACTCCACCGTTGAATTATGAATAATGTAACATGTAACATCCCAACCCAATCCATGTATTGAACCACCATCACCCCTAGCCCAGCGTAACTTCAACAGAGTACATTTGTTTTTCAAAAAATAAATGATTAACACAATTTTAATAGTTTTTTCAAAACAATAAAGACTTGATCATGGGGTTACAAGTATCCGATTAACTTAACTTTTTATATGAATGATATAATCGATAAACCTTACAATATTAACGGTTCAGATTATCAAAATACAATAAAAAAATGCCTCTATTGAATCTCAGCTACCCTCAGTCTACAAAACACACGCACACTTCATTATGAGTGTTTAGAAAGTTGTTGTTTTAATAAGTTAGTTTAATAGATTAAAATTTTTATATTTAAAAAAATAATTAAGTATTTTTATAATTATATTTGATATTTGTTAATTTATTTTATCTTTTAATAAATTTTAGAGTAAGAGAAACAGGTAGAGAGAAAAAAAAAAAAGCGAACCAGCCCAAACCCAACTTGCCAAACAGCCCCCATCACTCTCGTAAAACCAAAATCCAAACAGAAACACCCGAATTCACCCTCACCAACCACAAACTGCTACACAAACGCCAACAGAGAGAGAGAGAGGCGGCCGCCGCCATCGCCGCCAGCAAATCAAACATGTACAGAGACGTGTCGGCATGCAACACATACAATTACGGCGACGCCCTCTACTGGGACGCTCGTTACATTCAGGAAGGCGGTTCCTTCGACTGGTACCAGCGTTACTCTGCCCTAGGCCCCTTCGTCCGCAAGTACTTCCCCACCTCTTCTCGCGTCCTCATGGTCGGTTGTGGCAATGCCGGTAATCTCAATCCCCCTCTCTCTCTCTCTTGTGCTTTGAAATTTCGATCTAATTCTTCCCTTGAATCTGCAAATTTAGGGGTTTTTCTATGTAGTTTGTGTAGACCTTGTTTTCTGTAAAGGCTGTTTAATTAGGTTTTGTAAGAGAGAGAAAATAAAATTGAAGTTTTTTGGCAGTGTGCTATTTAATTTCTATGAACTTGGATGCTTGATCATGCCAGATAACTGAATACCATTGTTTGAGTGGATTGTTTTCTGGAAATTAGAATGTCAATTTCCCAATTTTCTGTCCCGGTTGTCGTCCCTCGTTCCCGTTTTCTTAGTAACCAAACGGATTTTCCCTTGTCCTTTTTAATGGTTTCATTCAATAAGCAATGAATTTCAAAATTGTAAGTTAGCATATTAAGCATTGACGAGTCATGCCGGAACATAAAAATTTATTTGCTTTTATTTTTTAAGACAATCAGTAGCAATCCTCTTGAGAATAAGGAGTAAGCCTTGTACAGTGGCTGCACCAGACATATTTGACTATTGATTTCAAACAATTCTATGCCAATTTGATTTTGGGGCTGATTGAGAAAGCTCTAAAAATGCAATGATGCATCTGTGGTGTTACCAAAACTATACAAGAACCTTTACACTTTGGAGCTCGTGTCATGAATTTTGAGGGAAAAAAAGGATTCTTATATCCATGAACAAGGACTTTGCTGACATGTATATCTATATATACATGTGTGTGTATGTATATATATACTAAAATACATGTACAACCCAAATACCAAGGGGGGCTGGGCACTTAAATGGATGATGCCTTGCTCGGTTTTTATGTCCACAGATTCTGACAGAAGAATTGAAGCCTTTAATTTTTTTTTTTGGTATGTAAAATATTTAAGCCTGCAATTCTTATTTGTCTTGAATATTGTGGGTGTTTGAGAAGTTGCTATTTTAGTAGTCTATTTAAAGTGGTGTTTTGGAAGTCTTGAACTTGTGTTTTTTTTGATTTTTTTTAACAAAAAGGCAAACTTTTTGCAAAATTAAAAAAAACACATCCAAACAAAATATCACATCCAACCCTATAATCATTTCACTTTTTCTCTTACAAACACCACCTCCAACCACAAAAAAATCCAACTATCTTCCCAAACACAAAATTTTTTTTCTCCAATAATATCCTACAATTAAAAAAACCTACATAAAAACTCACTTCCCAAAAACCCACTTAGTAGGCTAAAATTTTGGTATTTGGGAAGATGATTGGAATTTTTTTTGTAGTTGGATGTGATGTTTGTGAGAAAAAAAGTAAAATGATTATAGGTTTGATGTTACATTTGATCGTATTAGCTATTTTAGCATATTTTGTTTTTTTTGTAGATTTTAGCCTAAAAAAGGCTAAAAACTTTCTTGCCGAACACCCCCATTATGTCATTAGAGAAGGTAAGTAAATATTGAAGCCTCTAATTCATTTTTGGGACATTCTAACATACACACCCTTGTAAAGGGTGTACGGTATGCACCCTTAGTTATGCCATTTTTTTGTTTAGCTATGACTAATTTTCTTCTTTAGTTATGAATCAAAAGTTCTTTAGTTATGCCTCATGCTGTGTTTAGTTGGGACTTTTTTTTTAATTATGATTTAGAAAATATGAAGTTATGCCATTTTCTCATTTAGTTATAAAGTACAGATAGTACACACCCTGGTTCGCTTTTATTTTTTGGTACCTTTTCTTGTGGAGCCAAAGCTAGTTTATGCTTCTAATGGGTTAACTTTTTTGTTTTGTTGCTTTGAATCTACCATGAAAAAAGTTGATTCATGCAAATGGCTGTCTATAATTTTAAGGGAAGAAGTAATATATGCTTCTCAAGGAAGCACGGGTGTGGGTGTGAGTACGGTATAAGTACGAGTGCGGGTACGCCGATTCGGCAAAACTCAAAAAAAGTATGATACGGGTACGGCTACGGTACGCTGATATATATATATATATATATTTGATATAATTATGGTTAAATGATCCAACCTACAAATTAAAATTAAAATTAAATATCAAAACTAAAAAGAGAACTATTCATTTTCCTATAATTTAAAATCATTAAGAGTTAAAAATGTGAAATCTCTCACTTTGACATGTTATGCACTGTGAATTTGTTATCATAATTTATTTTTAAAATCTTTCTTTTTGCTCTCATCAATTTGCTATTTTTATATGGTGAGACCAAAGAAATAACAGGAGACCAAAGAAGATTTAAAGTTAATTGCCAACAGTAAAGGAAAAAAAATTCTCAATTGAGGCAGGTTGTCAATTGCAATTTGCATAATACATAAAATTGCATCATTTCCAACCATTACTAATCAACTAATACCGTATCAATTTTTAATATTTTGTGCATAAACTTTAAAAGTTTGTTATGATTAAAGATTTTATAAAGAAATTCTAGGAGGATCTGAAGCAAAAGCATAATGCATAGTCATACGTAGAACTGCCATTTATGGGCCTTGTTATTTTTTTTGTTCAAATTGCTTTTTAAAAATATCAAAATCATTTGCTGATATGCTTATATAATTCATACAAATAGACAGGACAGTAGAGAAACATCAAAATTGCTGATCTGCAAGGGCACTAAAAAAAAAAAATAAAAAATTGCTGAACCAAAAAAAAAAAGAGGCCCCGGCGTACCCATGGCGTACCCACGCCGTTCACGAATGAACCAAACGTACCGGACCCCTTTTTCCGTACCCGGTACGCGTACCCATGGCGTACCCACGCCGTACCCGAATGAACCAAATGTACCGGACCCCCTTTTGCCGTACCTGGTATGCGTGTAGTCGTACCGGTACGCGTACCTATACCCGGTAAGTACCCGGTACTTGTACGGCACTATTTTTGGAGTACTTGTACTTCATAGCTTGGGTCACTTGTAACCGTTGGGAAAGATTGGAAGAATGTATCAAACTTGTGGAAAACTTATTGAACTTGTCCATGTATCGATAGAAGGACAATATTTAGTCTTCTGTTGACTGATTGATGGTAATTGTATTCAAAGCTAGTAGTTTACTAGGGGATATAAGGCTCTAGGATACCCAATTTGTATGAAGAGAAAGATATTACCCTCTAATCTCTGAATGAGACAGCTTTGATCATTACAGCGTAATAAGTCATGGTTAATGTAGTTGACCAAGTTAAACTGTATAGGTAAATTCATGAACTTGGCCATTCTTCTCTCTCTCTTTCTCTCTTAAGCGAAACTTTAAAATTGGGAGAAGGGGACTCGAGCCCTGCCCCATGAATTGAAGCACACGGCAAGAATCACAAAGGCACACGATTAGATGATCCTTTTCTTAACCAGCCGAGTGTACAAAAAGCAATCACTAACATGGCCATTTTTGGGTAAGCAGAGAAAAAAAAAAAGGTAACAAAACTTCTTTTACATATGAATTGCTAGAACAATATGTTCTAAATTGAAGATGCTTTTGAACTGGTATAATACTATGTTACCAAAAACATTAATACCCTGGTGAATTATGTATTGGTACGAATGTTCCGAAACATGGTACACTTCTAATCCGAAATGGTAAATCTAGTGATCTAAAGCGATCTCAAAAGTTTTTTCTAATATATTTCCTTTAATTTTTTCTTAGGAGAAAAAAACTAAATATCTGAATTAAAATCTAAGATGAGTTTAGTTTTGATAAGACAAAACATGAAAAATGAGTCATAATGCTCATAAAAATATTTTGCTACATGAAAAAAAAAAAAATTACATTTTCTTGGATGCCTAATAGTTAAAAAAAAAATAACTCTAGAAGTACCTTAAATTCTTAAGTGTAATATATATAAGTCTACCCCTATCGTACCATATTTGAGAGCATGTGGCGTACCATGTTCTCGTTCCCCTTCCCTTTCCCGTTCTCGTTCCCATTCCACGTATTGGAACGGTCCACGTTCCGTGTAACATAGGTATAATATCTATTGTAACAACCATGTGATGGGTATTGTGCTTCTTTTCTATCATATTAGTCCCTCCAACCATGTGATGGGTATTATGCTTCTTTTCTATCATATTAGTCCCTCCCTTGTCTTGAATTATGAGTTCATCTTGTTACAAACAAGAAGCTCTTCGTTACATTCTAATAAAAAGTGGAAAAATGTTTGAGACCCCTAAAAAGTTACCCCAATTTGACCCATAATGATGTGGCATGATAGGTGTCAACTTTTGATTCGTCACACGCTCAACCATATTGGATCCAACTCCCTTGCCACATCACTTCGGGTCTAAAGTTGTGGATCTCTAGCATTTCTCTAAAGAGTGATTGAACTTTTGTAGATTAAAAATGTATGTGTAAATGTGAAATTGCTTTGTTGATTGTCTAGTTCTGTACTTGATGGATCTTTTATGGTTTGCATATTAAAGTATCCGATAACTATTTTAATTTGTAGAAAAAGAAGTAAAAATAACAACTAGTTTGAGTACCCAATGGATATATAATAGACTTTCAAATAGACTCAAATATGAGAGATTCTAAAAGTTTTGTGAAAAGGTTAGGTCAGCTAGATGACATTGTGCCAATGAACTTTGAGGACACAACAACGTTCTCCACTAGATCCTATGAAGCACTGACACGCCAAAATGGGTGTTGTAGCGGTGTCGAACATGTGGCAAGGGGTGGGGACACGAGGACACGTTGAAGACATGGCCTGTCCCTTTATTTAATTAATTTGTTCTTAGGGGACATACTGGAGACATATTGAACTAAAGACGAGGCAACTTGTTTTTTTCCCATTTTTTATAGTTTTTTTTGGTGGATGCTAGATGTTGAACGTTTATTACTCTTTGTTTCGATTTAAATAATTAATAAACGATAAGTGTTAACTTCAAAGTGTTTATATATATTGAATTAGTGTTAGTTTTTGTTAATTTTAAATGTTTGTAGATGTAATATTGATCTACATAATAACAAATAAAAATATATAAAAAATAATAATTTATTATTGTGTCCCGCTGTGTTTGTATCTTCATTTTTTTTAAAATTATCGTGTCTGTATCCGTTAGAATCGGCATGAGCTTTCAGGGGCCTAAGTGAACCCTTAATATGGGGCATCTACATTTCTACATACTTGAGGATAGAATCAGCTTAAAAAAGAAATTATTTCAATAACTGTAAATTATAAAATTTAGTCTTGTTTTATATTTTAATCGTTAAAACAATAAAAATAAATTACAAAAACATAAAAAATAAAATGGAGTTACAATATCAAAAAATTAAACTAGCTGCACCATCAATTAAACATTACTGTTCTCTTCTAATTGTAAAATTGAATCAAGAGTTCCTGCTTAATATTGAATTAATTCTTTTACTTTATAGGAAATGTGATTAGATAAACAATCCAATCCATAATCCAAGAAGCAACAATTCATTCAAATTCTAGAGATTTCAATTTTCAAGCAAAGTTGACAAAGAATTGAACTAGAACCTTCTAGAGAGAATATCAAGACCTAGAAAAATTCTATCTCAGAATGGTAAATTGGGTTATGAAGAAGTTTGGTAAAGTCAAAATCAATTACGGCGAAGTTTGGTTAAGTCAAAATCAATTACTTTGGGCCCTCCACTAATAAAAAGTCTATTTTGGGTTTGGTATTTAGGGTTGGTTTAGCAATGCACTATAATAGTCAAAAAGCAAAAAAGTTACTAAAAAAGTCAAAAAGTTAAAGAACTATACAAAAGGTCAAAGATTCTATTTTTCTCTATTTTTTACACGTTTTTTCGTAAAAAGTCAAAAAATCATCCCAAACAAGCTAGTTTTTTTCACCTCATATTTTAGCCAAAAAGTCAAAAAGTTACTAAAATAGCCTATTCCCAAACCAATACTGCACTTAGTTGGGTTTTGTTAAGTTAAAATCAAAATAATTGAGTGTCCACTAAAAAAATTAGTTTTGCTTTTGGATTTGGTGTTGAGGGCTGGACTTGGGTGGCTTTTGGTAAGATAAAATCAAAATAATTGGGGCCCTCCATTTAATCGAGACCTAACAAAAACAATTGTGTTTAGCCTTAGTATAAGGATTGTTTCTAAATGTACACATGCAGAATTGTGCTTTAACGTGAAAAGTAAGGGCACATATCAGACCAAGCTCAACATGGAAAGGCGCGAGCCATAGGTGGAAGGTGATGCAATGAATGCATGCAAACTACAATGCAGTATCTACAACTATGCAATGGAATGAATATTTACAAAAATGCATGACAATGCAGTATGATGCGATCTACTGGGGAAAATGCAATGGATGCGTGCAAGCTACAATGGAAATGCATGACAATGCACTATGATGCAACGACTATGATTGCGACTTTCCCTATCTTACCAACAGGGCGATATACTAGGTTGGTTCAGTATCCAGAACTGAGGCGCCGACACGCTGCCTCAATCTATGGGACTTCCATACAGATTTCAAGCCGAGGATACACCCCTGGGTATTTAAACCAGACTTTAGTCTTGGAACTCCCGAACCTTTGCGTTCTAGGCATAAGCCGTTCGAACTCTAGTTTCCACCGTCCCAGTTGGTCTTCTAGGAACTCACCGCAACCATAGGCAAGTGGCTTTACCAGACCACCGAAAGTCGTTCGGGCACGACAAACACCAAATGAATTGCACCTTCAGAGGATTTAGGGTCTCCTGGACCGTGCGTGTTTAAGGTCTCGCCAGACCAACGAAACATGCATAACAATGCAAGAATGAGGCACGCATGCCACATGGAATGTAAACTGATACAATTGGACTTATATGCCACGAAAAACTGTGCATATCAATGCACCGGAGGTTTCGCACCTCCCAAGGATTTAAGGTCTCCTAGACCGTGCGTGTTTAAGGTCTCGCCAGATCGGGCGTGTTTAAGGTCTCGCCAGACCGAGTAATATGCATGACAATGCAAGAATGAGGCACGCATGCTAATGCTAACGTCGACAAACAAGCCAACGAAAATGTGACACGCATGCCGATGCAAATGAAGCATGATGCAAGATGATACAAATGATACAAGTGTGACACGCATGCCACACAGAATGCAAATGAAACAAATGAGACACGCATGCCTCATAAGATGCAAAATGATGCAAGTGTGACACGTATGCCACACGAAATGCAAATGAAACAAATGAGACACGCATGCCTCATAAGATGCAAAATAATGCAAGTGTGACACGTATGCCACACGGAATGCAAATTTAAACAAATGAGACACGCATGCCTCATAAGATGCAAAATGAAACAAGTGTGACACGCATGCCACACGAAATGCAAAATTAAACAAATGAGACACGCGTGCCTCATAAGATGCAAAATGATGCAAGTGTGACACGCATGCCACCCGGAATGCAAAATTTTGACAATTGGACTTATACGCTACACGAAGCCGGTTTATATTCAAAACAATGCAATGTACTAACAAGTACAAGTAAGGTGCGCAAGATAGCGCGATAGGATACATGCAAGATGCAAGTAAGGTGCACAAAACAGTGCGATGCGGTGCGCAAAATAGCGCGAGTGATTTTGAAATGCACAAAACAGTGCGATGCGCAAAACAGTGCGATCGATTTGTAATACACAAAACAGTGCGATGCGTAAAACAGCGCGATCGATTTGCAATGCACAAAACAGTGCGATGCGCA